TCTCTCTCTCTCTCTCTCTCTCTCTCTCTCTCTCTCTCTCTCTTCTTGCCAGGAGGCAGGATAAAGTAAGTTGTTGGATTACTTGGGACTCCACAAAACCTTCAGTTTTAGGACTGGCTGCACCATCCAGCAGAAATCAAGTCGGCCTGCCTTTTGGCTTTGATCCTGAGTCTGGGTGCTCCCCTTAAACGTCTGGATGGCAGTAAGAAGCCCCATGAGAACTATTCAGAGCAGGGAGAAGGAGCTAGGGAAGTACAAAGACAGCAATGAAGAAAAGGGGACAGATTCATGAGAAAGACATGAAAAGAACATGGGGTCAGCAGCACACCTGCACAGAAACTCTGTGCTAACACAGAGACTTGGCTTTTGCTGGGAAATTACTATAAATGCTGTTGGGACTTAGTGTGGTTATAAATTGGTGGCATTATCAGTTTTGTCCACTTGATGGTAATTCAGTGATCATTACCAAAACTTGAAACATTTCCTAAAGACAGAAGTCCCTCTGTTAAGTATCTATTCACAAACACACAAACGAAAGAGCAACGATGATCACTGATTTGTGTAAGGAACCTTTCAGCGAGGTGAAGAGAAAAGGCAAAGAACAGGAGAACACATGCATCAGCTGTTCATCTGAAAAGGAGTTAGTGTGCAGAATGCATAAAAAATTCAGATAATCCCAGAGCAAAACCAAACCACCAAAATACAAAATCCAGCTGAAAAATGGGCAGTAAACAAAAATGTTTACTGTCCCCAGTAAACAAAAATGTTTACTGTCCCCAGTAAACATTTATAGAAAGAAGACATACAAAGAGCCAACAAAAACGTTGAATATCTAATTATTAAGGAAGTGCAAGTCTAAACTACAGTAAGATAAGATATATCTCAATCCTCTAGAATGGCTCTAATTAAAAAGACCCCCAAAGTAAGAAATGTTGGTGCAGATGCAGAGAAAGGGGAAGTCTTACCTGCTGCAGGTGGTGGTGGTGGTGGTGGTGGTGGTGGTGGTGTGTGTGTGTGTGTAAATAACATAGTCATTGTGGACAGCAGTGCAGAGGTTCACTGAAGCAAGCTACCTATGATCTAGCAACCCCTCGACTGGGTAGATATCCAAAGAAATGAAGTCATTAAATCAAAGACATATCTGTATGACTATGCTATTGCAGCGATACTTACAATGATAAGAGATAGACTCAATCAAGATGTCCACCCATGGATGTAGACTTAACAAATTTGGTAGACCTCATCTGTAGTTATATTAGAATATTATTCTACTACAAAAGGATGAAATCTTGAGCCAGCTGTAATCACAGCACTCAAGAAGCTGAGGCAGGAAGATCATGAGTTTGAGGCTAGATGGAGGTAAACAATAACTTTTGGGCCAACCTGGGCTACACCATGAGCCTCTCCCCAAAACCAAAACCAAACCAAAAACCTCTATACAACAAAAATGAAGAGGCAAAGGACAGTCTCCTCTCATCTGCAGCAACAAGACTTGACCTGGAAGATTTTGTGTTGTCAGAACAACCAGGCTCAGAAAGAGAAGAGGTAACCTGTTCTTACTCAGTTGTGGAAGCTAAAAAAATGTTTGTCACACAGAAATAGAGACTATAACATAGGCCACTAGATGCTGGGAAGTCAAGGAGGCAGGAGAATAGCAGACTGAACAATTCATGCCAAAATAGGGTTGGACGTTGTCCTGATGTTCTATAGCACGGTAGAGTAAGCTCGGTCTATACCACTAAGTAGGTCCTTTAAAATAACAAAGACGGCAAAGTTTGAAGATGTTCAACACTTAGTAGTAGTAGTAGTATCTGAGGAGGTGGAAATCTGATTTATTTGATTTAATCATTGCCGATTGCATAAATGTACAAAATTATAATACTGTACCCCAAAGAAACATAAACATTTATCATTAAAAAAGTTAAAAAGGAAAAGAATATGAAATCTTTGTGTTTCATATAGTAAACAAACAAAGTTTCATTTGATGTTCCTTATGTATTCTGACTGAACAGGATAAAGTAAGTTACTTAGTTAGAAAGTTTGAGGGTTAATCTGTTTCATGTAAATATTTAATAATAAGGCATAACTTTGTAGACTGAGGCAGCTCTAGAATATCTATGACAGAAAGAATGTAATGGAAATGTTTGCACAATTCCCCTTGAGAGTCAGTTGGAAGGGTGAGCAGCTGCTGGTTTTCCCAATTTGATATTTAGTTCAGCTTTGTTTGATTTTCTCCTCTTTCCCACTTCCATCTTTCCCCTTCCTTTTCTCTTTTTTCTTCTCCTTTTTTATGTCCTGGAAACAGGGTATGCTACTCTACATCAGGCATTTCTTCAGTTTTAAAATATTAGGTACCTTAATCAAAATAAATATCCTGCCCCCTTTTGTTTCTAAGGTAGTCTGTAGAATTCCTTTGCTGAATTAATGATTAAGATGAGATTCCTCTGGAAATGCTCTGTAATTTGGGCAGGAAATTATAAGGTAAGGTAAGAGATTATAATTAGCAGCCCAATGGGTAAACAAATGTGGCACATATATACAATAGACTTTTTTTTAGCCTTAAAGCCCAACATGGGAACCCATACTTGTAATACTAGTACTTGCAAGTCAGGAGCAGAAAGATTTTGTTGTTGTTGTTTTGAGACAAGATTTCTATGTGTAACAGTCCTGACCGCCCTGGAACTTGCTTTGTAGACCAGGCTGGCCTTGAACTCACTGAGATCTGCCTGCCTCTGCCTCCCAAGTTCTGGGATTAAAGGAGTGCACCACCACCTCCTGCCCCAGAAGGATTTTTATGAGTTCAAGGTCAGTTTGAGCTACAAAAGTGAGTTCCAGTTTAGCCTGGTATAAAGTATAAGTTCTCTGATAATGAAAATACATTTAACATTACTGAATTTTATACTTCAGATGGTTAAAATGATGAACTCTGCATTTTACCTCACATACTTTTTAAAAATTTAAAGAAACAAAAAGCCTCCCAATATAGCAAATGTACATTAAAAGGAAACTTAACAAATAAATCATAGAACATGGAAGTATTCTATGATTTGAGGCCAAACAAGCAGGTCTATGTGGTGAGTTCCAGGCTAGTCAGGGCTACATAGACTATATCTCAAACAAAAACAAGCAAACAAATGAACATACCCCCCCAAAGTAAACAAAAGAACAACAAAAGAAAGGCCGGCATGGGACTACGGTCATGGTAGCTCAGGTGATAAAGTATTTGCCTTGCCGACATAAGGACCTGAGTTTGATCCTGTCTAGGCAAATGAGAAATACTGTCTCCAAACAAAATGAAGAAAAGCAAGATAGATAGCACCTAAGAAACATTAGCTGAGCTTGTCCTGTAGTCTGCACACCTATACACACAAATGCCCCCCCCCCAAAACATACACATTCACCTGTGAATGAGTGCAGGAGCACACTCACAAGCACACGTACACACACACACACACACACACACACACACACACACACACACACACACACCTGTACATACAGACACCTGTACAAACCTGAGAAATAGATCTACATATTCTAATTCATAGTGCTGCCGGAAGGACAACAGCTCATTAGGATGCCATTTGTGACAACAAGCATGTATATATTTACCTTCATGTGCACTAAGTCTGTGGGGGAATCTCTAGAGATGCCTCTGAGAAAGAATGAAGTTTGCTGAAGACTGTTCTGTTTGCCACTTTAGATTGCATTTGAACACAAAATGTTTATATGAACTTCTCATAGAGAGTAATGTTCAGCTATTAAAAAGGAAGGTAGTTATGTGGATAAAATTGACCAAAACATAGCATTAAGTGAAAAACTCTGA